GTAATATGTGCTCTTTAGACAATTTTTTTGTAATATTATGACAAAAATTCCACTTCTTACTGCAAAAATACATATTAGAGTAATAAATTTCAAAAGCATGCAAATAGTAAACATACAAAAATAGGTAGTAGTAGTTCAACATTAATTACAGCTGCTAACAGTTTCTTAGAAAATTAACAACGCAATTTCTTTCTTGTTCATATTCGAAATAGACCTTCTCAAAAAAGTTATGTTATTTTCAAAACCAAACACATAAAAAAACAAGCTCATTCAAAGCAAAATCTAATTATCTAACTATAAATTATCCGTCTTATAGCAATGCGAAATTTTCTTATTTCGCAATTTTTCGGTTTTCCTCAACTCTACTCTTATATATATACTTCTCTCGTATTCTCAAACCATTTATTTTACCAATTCGGTTTCGCAATATTACTAAACCAATTATTTCTTAATCATTTTCTTTCTTTATTCTTCACTAGAAAATTCTTTCCCGTATTTCGATACCACACTTATTCAGTTGGTGCTGTCGCATACTCCGAAGTTCACGGCCACAACCCTCTTGACCACGGTCAAACAACACCGTCCACTCTCAAACATCTCTGGAAATCATGTCAAGTGGATAAAACATCAATTCGAAATGTCTAAGAACCGATTCGGGTTGCCCAAGAATCATTAAAGAACGCAATAAGAAAGGAAGAGAGAATAAATATTTTCAAAGTGAGTGGGCTTGGGTCGGTGGGCGGGATTTTCGATGAGGGAGAAAACCAGGTACAGTAAGAGTTCAAGAAGTAAGTTCAATTCAAATCTATCTAAAGTTGTGCAATGAATCAAGGGCTACTCATTAGCTTGAATGGGAAGAGAGGGGGGGGGGGGTATTTGAACGAGATCGTGACGACGTTATTTGAAAAAGAAATTTCGTAGGCCATACCTGACGATGAAACGTTTTAGTCATCGTCGTTTATTGGAGAGATGTAATGGGGGGACCAATAACAAAGAAAAATTTCTTTGAATGAGTGGACATGCATATGCGTAAAACTTCGGTACATCTTGAGATCCAAGAGTTTGAGAAAATAAATTTCTAAACAGTGTAACTTGTGTAATTGTAATGTTTTTTTCAATTCCTACAATCAGTTCACTCTCTCCCTATATATCTTGTTCAAATTTTCAATCGTCAATAAAATACTTTCTATTCATCCATTCGAGTTCAAATACATTTTTTTGATACTTTTAGTGGATGACACTTGATGTTAAAAGAGTTTTTTTCAAATATTAATTCATTAATTAAATTAAAAAATGAATGAATAGTAACAAACCAAAATAATAGTCCAATAGCATGAACAGAAAGGAAAATTGTTCATTGTGTCCATGTTGCACAATGGATAGCGCGTTGGACTTCTAATTCAAAGGTCGTGGATTCAAATTCCACCTGGGATGGCCTAACTTCTGAGAATGTGATTTTTTTACTATACTATTTTATTAGAATAATTAAATTTAGTTAATGAATAAATAGTAACAAACAAAAAAAAATAGTCCAACACCTTATATAGAAAGGAAAATGGAAAAGTGCAAGAAAAATCGTTTTCTATTTTGCCACTTAATAGTGTGATTTTGTCATAAGTATGTACATATTTATATTAATTGTAACTATATTATAAAGAGTAACTAAAATAAAATTTTTCTTTGTTGACCTAAGTAGGAATCGACTTAAACTTTTATTTTACATTTCTTGTTTGTTTTATTTTAATTTTATAATTTTAGAAAAATATTCATTGGAAAAATATTAAATGTGAATAATATATATATATATATATATTTCATAAATTAATATTTAAGATTCCAATTCTTTAGTTGTTTGGACTATTTGATTATTGAACCTTTCTGTTTCATTGTTTCTGTGCCCTAAACTCACGCTAAGCAAAACCCCATTACTCCTTATAAATTTAAACTACAGTCAGATAAGGGGATCAACACCTGAGCTATTACCGTATTCTCCAAATCAACGCCTTGCCTTTTTGGACTTATATTAAGACCTGTCAGATTTCGTTAATATGAGTTTCCTCCAACGAGTCTTTAAACGCGGCCCAACAGTTACAGAGGTCCATTATGCCAACCAGATGTGGTAGAATGTGGTCTCGGACTCATGGACGGTATGTCATGAGTTCGAGCCCAAATGCTACTGAAGACTCGTCGTACAGAGGGGATGATGGACGTTAAATCTGCTGCGGCTCAAAGTCGCCTTTTGGCGTGAGGTGGTAGTTTGGAGAGAGGATGCCATGTCAATTATCCTCATATAACTTGATCATGTTATAAAATTACGAGGTCCGTCGCCAACAGTCCACGTGTTGCCTTATAGTGTGTGACATTAATATAACACTTACTCACTTCTAACCAGATTTCCACAAATGAACTCTATAGATAAATCCTTTTTTTTTAATAATTTGATTTTGTGTGCATGTTAGAGGGTCAAGAAATTATTTTGGAACAATCGTGGCATTTTAATTTTAGATCTACGTCTATCATGGAAGATATGATCAAGTCTATTAATATCAAAAGTATTGCTCAAATATGTAAACTAATAAAATATTGTAAAGTTTATAAAAATGTTCATTATTTGTTAATATTTTAATTAGTTATATTAAGCCCAGTGTCTGAATGGTTGTGTTTCTCACTTCTACACCACAGATCCGGGGATCAATTCCCAGGCTGAGTACCAAGCGTATACTTGGGGTCCAAACACTGGGGACTTTAGCGTCAGACTGACCACCTGACCGTGACATCTACTCATGCATCTCAGTGACCAAAGTCACGTATACTGAGATGGGCACTGTAGGCCTTGGCTCTCATGGGCTGTTGTGTCACTGAGTTTAATTTACTTTAATTAGTTATCTTAAGTGCGGCTGCGGTTACTGAGGGATCATGGGGGGGGGCCGCTCATGACCGACGATATTTTTTCTTGCAGGGGCATAACGTACACCCCCACATTGAGGGGGCCCCAGGATTTTAGGGTGCCCAAAGCCTAACTGATGCCTCGTTCATACCCTTTGTAAGATCCAGCTTGGGTCCTAAATCCTGCCTTTGCAAGGGGTCCTTAATATTCTCCGTTGCGCCACTGTTCCTTTGGGTCATAGACTTGAGTCCCGATACCAGCAGATATCGTCCTGTAGAGGGGATGTGTGATACACGTTAAATCTGTAGAGGTTTCTCATCTTTGTGGACTGTTGAAGTTTGATGGATGGAATCCTAGTTCAGAAGCTATCTTTTACTCTCAATCTTTTCTTATAATTAATATCCCTAATGTTGCTGCAGACTCTGAGACGCTGATAAATTATAATAGTCATATTAAATATTTAAATTATTCATTTTCTAAGATTTTCTTGAAATATATTTTGAATTACTTAAGGGAACGAGGGATCATTAAAACTAATTTCTTAAATTGTTAGCTTAATTAGCTAAAAATGGAATCATATAGTAAATAATTATTATATTTCACAATTTAAATATATATATTTTTAAAAAATTATTGTGTAAACATATTTTTTCTTAAGAAAATTAAATTTTTTAAATCACTTTTAAAAATGCTCCTTATGCATTAGTTTTTAAGATATGTACATAATTTTTGTTTTATTTATAGATGAAATACAACAAAATATATTTGTGCATGGATTTTTATAATTCTGAATAAAATTCGATGAACAAAAGATAAATTTTCTATATTATATGAAAATATTTCACAAATTATCAAACATTCAAGATATTCAAAACAACACAAAGTACGATCCGTTAAATTTTTTACAAAACTAATGCACAAATTTGTGAATATTATATCATATTTAATAAGTCGTGAAAGTTTAAAACAGATATGACGTAATTTGAAATGCAAAGAGCATTTTACGTAACAATGAAAATGGAAAATTTACGAACAAAGAAAAGTACATTTTAAACATTTATTTCAGTAAAATAAAAAATATATATATTCAGTAATTATTAATCAAAATGATGAAATTCTTTGATAGAATTATTCTATGAATTATAAGGAATATTATTAGTATAAAAAATTAAAATCGCAATTTTGACTAAAATGCGACATATTGAAGGTCCATCATCCCCTTAAAATTGTTACATTATAACACATATTTGTTTTACTTTTATATATATGGTGTTTTGTACTGAAATATATGAGGAATCTGTAAAAGGATGAATCACATTAATATATGCTAAGAGAAAATTCAACGAAAATTTTAAGTTATATTCACTATATATAAATGATTCCTTTATTAAATGGCCTGATAAGAGTAAATTAAAAACACTCCATAAATGATAATCCAATTTTCGATATCTTACAAGTTAAGTAATATATAACATTTAAAAAAAAGTATTTTTCGTTTTAATTAATTGAATGATTGATAGAATATTAACGTCACACTGTTCAGCTACACGAGGGGTTTTGGCGACGGACCACGTAATTTTGAACCATGGTCAAGTGACGTGGACGACACCTGAGCTGGCACCCCCCTCTCCTAACTACCACACCACACCAACGGGAGGACGTTTCAGCTCTCGACAGATTTAACGTGCATCGCTGCTCTTCACGGCGGGTCTTTAGTGGTACTGGGCTCGAACTCTTGACAAAGCAAGCCACGATCCGATACCTATACCACTCGGCTACCGCGGCCGTTCGTTTTAATCAAATTTTTTAAAGTAACACTCACTTTTTTTTACGACATGGACCATTCAATTTTCTAATCGTTTTATCCACAAAGGATCAGATGAAATCCTATAATAAAACAAACAAATTATATTAAAAAAAAGTACTAAGAACAATTCCTTAATAGGTCAACAAAGAAAAATGTTATATTTTAGTTACTTTGTAAAAAATAGTTCTAATTAATATTAAACGGCAAAATAGAAAGTGCTTTTCCTTTCTGTATGGGGTGTTGGACTGTTATTTTTGTATGTGTTACTATTTATTCATTCATAAATCATATTCTCAGAAATTTAGCCATGTCAGGTAGGATCCCAACCCATGATCTTTGGATTAGAAGTCCAACGCGCTATCCATTGCGCTACAGACACACAACGAGCGAATTTCCTTTCTATATATGCTGTTGGACTATTATTTTTGTTTTTTACTGTTTATTCATTAATTACATTTAATTAATGAGCTAACATTTGAAAAAACTGTATTAACATCGTAATAGTTTAAACTGTAACTACAAGTTAAAAAAATATTTTTTAACTTGATTGGATGAGAATAAAAAATGTTTTATTAAAGATTGAAAATTTGAACAATATATATATATATATATCTACGTTCGGAACCATGATTTTGCAAAATCGTGTAAAAGGATAATATTTATATTCAGTGTCACTTAAATTAGAGTACATGTATAAAATTGTTTTAAGGACATTATGACAAAAAAGAATTATTTAAATACAATATTTTGGCAAAAAATTAACTTAGAATAACCTTTTTTCCAAATGTTCTTTTGTAAAAAATGCTTCTATTGTATTAATATTTTGCCTGTATTCATCTTAGACCTCTGTACAGAGGCTCAAGTAGAATTTTTGAAATGCATAACTCGGAAGTCGGTTTATCCATGTTTTACGAAAACAGAAGGGAGAAATTTTAAGAAAATACGCTGATAATTATTTCAAATGGTTGTAACTCTGAAAATAATTTGAATTTTTCAAAAATCATAGTTGAACCTCTGTACAGAGGTCTGAGCTATATACAGGCAAAATATTATTATAATAGAAGCATTTTTGACAAAAAAGAACATTTTGAAAATAGGTTATTCTAAGTTAATTTTTTGCCAAAATATTGTATTTAAATAATTTATTTTTGTCATAATGTCTTTAAAACAATTTTATAGATGTATTTTAATCTAAATGACACTAAATATCATGAAAATTATACATTTATGCTCTTTTTTAAAATCATGGTTCCGAACGTAGTCGGATACATTAAGAAAAGGCTATTTAAAGAAGTTAAATAATTTTTAGAGCACTAAAAATCACACAAAGTAATTTTACTTTATTCGTTACAACCACTTAGGGAAGACTTCTCTGGTGTATTTATAAGAACAGGTTGATTTTTTTCCATTTACAATTCTGCACCCTTTATCCTAAGTGAGGAAAATTAGGCATTAAAAATAATAAAAAATAGAATACGAGTCGTGAAAAAGTGTAGTGGTCGGTAGCGCTTTAACTCACTGTCCTCTTTCCAATAAAATGGTCAAGTGACAAATCTCGTTTCAAAGACAATGGACCACAGTGCGAACGTTAAAACAAAGAATCTGCATTTTTTTTGTTGGAGCTGTTTCGTCTACAGGGCGGGTCCAGTGTTGTTTTTGTTTGTCTTGCAAATGGTGTTTGTTCTTTGTGTCGTGTCTACAGATGCCTATCGGGGAGGCCGGGCTGTGTGAATGTGTGCAATTGAGATTTTCGTGTGAGATCGCTGAAATGACTTTGTTTTAATAACTCAATTGTAATAGTGTGGCTGCTTTTCAATTCACTTTTATTTAAAAAACGAAATTTAGGGCAGAAATTGTTTCAACTGGATACAAAAAGTACACTACATTGATAAAGGGTAAATGATTTTGCCTTGAATATCAGCAATGTGAATGAATAATGTTATCTGAGACACAGAATTTTCAATAAATTTTACTTTACTATTTTAGAAGTGATTGATGGTTAGTGTTTGAACGGAGAAAAAACGGTACTTGCGTATTATACTGTCCATCAATTTTGCCATATCAAAAAACGTTGCCAAATGTTCGTTCCAACCATCGTTCAAGCTCATGTGCGAAAACAAATTCTCGCTCATGTCTATCCATATAAGCCAGTAGGCAAATAAATCGGCTAAGATATAATAAAATTAAACACTGCATTTAACTAAAACATAAAAATTTGAAATATACGAAAGATCTACAACAGTTAGATTATTCAGATGGTCTAAACATCATATAGATGCATCCAAGATCGCGGCAAATGAGTCTGCTTTATGTAGACGATACCACATAAATTGGCAAGAGTGTGAATCTAAATGTCTTGCAGATTAGAGTAGTTTCTAATTTTGCCATTTTGTGTTAAAAACCCTTATTCCTTCGGGTATTTTACGTATAAGACCGAACTACCTCACTGTGTTATCTTCCGTAGAAAATAAGTCACACATTCTAATAAGGTTTAACAAAAAAAAAAAAAAATGAAAGAAGAATATTACAAATTATAATGAAGGTTTCATTTTGCAATGTTTATATTTTCGAATATTCGACATTTAAATTAATGTGTGTAAGCGTACTCTCTTGCGAATGGTACTACCAATAAAAAATGATAATTATATTTGAACATGCGCGAACTGCATTATTATGTTTTAAGGCTGTTTTCGCCATATGTACGAGTGAGTGAGTGAATATTAACGTCACACTGTTCAGCTACACGAGGGCATTTGGCGACAGACCACGTAATTTTGAACCATGGTCAAGTGACGTGGACGACACCAGAGCTGGCATCCCCCTCTCCTAACTACCACACCACACCAACAGGAGGATGTTTCAGCTCTAGACAGATTTAACGTGCATCGCTGCCTACACGGCGGGTCTTCAGTGGTACTGGGCTCGAACTCATGACATGCCTGCCATGATCCGATACCTTGACCACTGGACTAAAGCAACCTTCGCCATATGTACGGGAGCGTAAACTTAACGCGGAGCACATTTTCAGACAGAAAAAATGCCTCAATTTTTATAAAAATTTGTGACATTGTAATTCATGTATTTGTTTATAATATAATGTTTTTAAAATTTCAAAACATTTCATACACATAATTAGTTTTTTCCTTTAAAATATAAAGGGGTAGCTCATTTAACAGTACGATATAGAAGAAAAAATGTGTCAACTAGGATAAAAATGAGAAATATGATAAAATAAGTAATTATCTACAGAATAGTGAAGCCAAAATGTAATATTTATATTCGAGTACTTTTATATATGGAAAAATACTCCGAATTTGGGTCCCATTCTTTAACAATAGCCGAAGACAGCCTTAATATGCTCAGGAAGGGTTTGCCTGTATTAGCTGCATAAAGTGGCATTGGCGACATTTTTGATAAGACAAAATCGGTCGGAAGTGTAATACAATAAAAGGTGCTGAGTGAGAGTTATTTTAACGTCGCACTATAAAACAACACAAGGACTATGGGCGATGGATTTCGCAAATTTAAATCTCAGTCAAGTGACGAGGGCGCGATACCTGATCTCTGGCACACCCTCTCCAAATTACCACACCATGCCAACGGAAACACTTTGAGCATAACGGATTTAACGTGCATAAGTCCCTTCTACACAGCGGGTCTTCAATGGTACCGGGACACGAATCCGCAACACTTCGGCCAAGAGTTCGTGACCATAACCGATAGGCTACAACGGTCACCTGACAATATAGTTATTGACACTCTTTCGTTATTTTATTTTTGTCCCCTAGCCCAGTGCTTCTCAAACTTTCAATATTTGGGACCCATTATTCAATCATAATTTTCATCGCGCCCCCCTTCCAAACAATAATAATGTATAGAATTCAATTATACGAGACTTTGCTGCTAAAGCTACAACATGACTTAAAACACTTCAGTGCCAACGGCGTATAGAAAAGGGGCACTCAGCCAAAGCATTATTGCCCCGGACGTATATATACGTCTTTCCGAAGTACGATCTTCTCTGCACACTGCTATCCATAAAATTATTCCGAAGGCTTTGGAATACAATAAAATGACATTGACAGTGTTTTCATAGGATTTACTTATTTCAAAGAAGGTTTTACTTGCTTATTTCTTTCCATCCCTCCCCCAATACATCACATTCGCGCGCATTATTGAGCGAATCACGTAATTTTGAATCGGCAGTTATGGGATTAATTATAAACCGTACAAAAAATTATCAAGAAAAGTGTTAATTTTTGTATATATTTTATACATGCGAAGCCTATGGGGTCACTGGTAATTATTAAAATTGCTCTTAACTTAGTATTGTTAAATTAATTACAAAACACATTGTGCAGTACTGATACATTTATAAGTATATTATATCAGTGTAAATGTGTATTTCATTTTTTTATTATGTCAGAATGTATTTTGTTTGCTTACTCTTTCCCCAAATTAATAATTTCCTTAAATAATCTTTTGTTTTTGACTTTTCAATATGCTCGCATCTCTCTCGTAGAGTTATCACGCCCCACAGTTTGGGAAACGCTGCCCTAGCCCCAGGCTTCCTCACCACACCAGCGTAAGCATTTGGAACCTCGACAAATTTAACGTGCATCAGCCACTCTACTTGATAGGTGTTAAAATGAAGTTATTCAATTTTAAAAAATTGTAGTAGTACAATAAACATATGTAAAATTTCAATATATTCAATGAACTTTTCTCACTCTACTTTGAAACATATATTACATGGGTCTCCCGTACATTATCCTCCGTTGATTATTCTGTTATCCGGTCAGAGATCCGGTTGCAGGTCAATAGCCCCTTACTGTATTATCTTCAGTCTGTTATTAGCATTCCTATTCATAAATTGCGAATTTTTCATTAAATATTGCAAAAAGATTTATTTTACCATGTTTTATGAACTCGCTTTCTTGCATGCCTGTCCGGGTGGAATTTTGTAATTGATTTTAAACTAACTTCCCGATGAGAGCTAGAAACTTGAAATTTGGACCATAGCTCAGAAGTGGATGACAATGTATGAAAACGTGAAAAAAGAAGAAATAAAATGAAAAGGAGAAGAGAAAGATGAAGAAAACGAAAAAGACGAAGACAAAAATTATACTTTTTATTGAGAATTTTTTTTTTAGATAACATACTTATTTATTTTTTTTTATTTTTTTTTATCACAGTTGATTCACAGATTTTGGAACTTTAACTTTACTCTTTTTTTCCTGTTTGAAATTGGATTCGGCACCAAAAAACAATCGAAGAAAAAAGAGAGAGAGAGCAATAATATTAACATATTAAAAGTTATTGGATTTATCACATGCGTTTGTTTGCACGTGTCATGTTTTTAAGGGAAAAATTACGTTT